GTAAAAATAACTGGCGGTCAGTGGAGGAAAGCCTTGTTTTGCCCTCCATGTGGGCGTTCCTGTAAGGGTGTGACGTCACGTGAAAACTATCAATAGATATGTATAGTACTGTAGATGCCCCATTCGACTGCGCCAAGCACGTAGATGCGACGTCAATCACCATAATAATCAATGAACATATGAAGATGCCACAATCCTGCACAGCCAATGGTTGTAAAAAACCACCGGGATTTAAATTCCCGAAGAAACTGGATAACCTTTCACAGGTGAGAATGTGTTGGTTTGTGTTTTTAAATGTATTAACTCAATATTACAAATTTTGAAACATTGGTAACTTTTAATGTTGTGTTAGCTAACGCGCTCATCTTGTTGTATGGTGTTAGTTAGGTCTACACAACAACACATTGAGCTCTTCCGGCAACAGTACTCGAGGGTTCGCACTTCGCAGACCATCGGCTGTTATGGTGAATGACGTCAACTTAAGTTGACCCTTCGAATGGTGGACGGCTTGCGTATAGTGGTCCATAGAAATAGTCGCTAATGAGTTCTCTTTCATCATCTCGTGTTCGAGATCCACCTATGGGAAGGGCATCCGCGCCTGACCTCTGCAGAAGCATCCAATTGCACCAAGTCTGGCTTGACAGACAGGAGCGCATGCCCAATGGCAGGTAAGGGGCCGCCCCTTAACCGAACGCATATAGCCCCTGCATGCGCTACCTTTCCTCAGTTGACATTAGCTTCTCGCGACCTCTGGAATTTACTCACAGCTCGTTGGTTTTGACATCACTTAACCATCTACAGGAGGACACATCTCTGGATCAGCCTCCACTAGGCGTGCTTGTCAATTTACCAGGTCAGCTGTTTTAACTCTGCAAGCCGCCAACGCTCGCACTAATTACTAGGCTGCCCGCCTCTTACCTGTCCTTTTCCACTGTCCGTTATTATTGGCTCTTTCCAAACCGAGTCCGGATTCTAACGTTACCGTGGACAACCTGTCGCGAGCCTGCCCGGCTTTTTTTCTTGCCAGGTGACCGTCCTCTGGCTTCGCTGTGAGTGTACTGAGCAACCGAGGAGTTGACCATATCTCCCATAGGTGGATCTCGAACACGAGATGATGAAAGAGAAAAATAGGTTACTGTTCGTAACCCCGGTTCTCTGAAACATCGAGTGGAGAGATCCACCAAGTTTGCCCCACTTGCTGCACGAGAAGCGAATATGCTCACTGAGGAAAGGTAGCGCATGCAGGGGCTACATGCGCTCGGTTAAGGTGTCAAGCCTGACTTGGTGCAATTGGATGCTTCTGCAGAGGTCAGGCGCGGATGCCCTTCCCATAGGTGGATCTCTCCACTCAATGTTTCAGAGAACCGGGGTTACGAACAGTAACCTTTTGTTTTGTTTCCCATTTCAAAGAGATAAGAGCTGCACTTGCATGCCCTAGAGGCATTTCAAAGATGGCTGCAGAGTGAAATGACTTAGGCCCTGTCCACACGAACACAGGTATTTTCAAAACCGCAGCTTTTTCTATGCAGTTTGGCCGTTTGTCCACACACAAACGCAGTATCAGGTCACTGAAACTGACCCTTTTTGAAAACTCCTGCCAGGGTGAAGATTTTCAGAAACTCTGATTGCAGTGTTGTGTATCCGGTGAAACTGTAAATTTTGGTTTGTGACGTCGGAGTGCACGCTGTTATCTCCTTTGTTTGAGGTCAGGTTGTGCGCCACTATCTCCTTTGTTTACATGAGGCGAGTCTGTGATTGGCCAACATGGCTTTACGGTTAGGGTTATATCGCCACCTGTTGGTTTTGCACACTCTTGGCAGTGCTTCATGACGTGTTTTTGCGTTTTCATGTGGACAAGATTAATTTTTTTTATTAAATGGAGGAAAAACCCATAAAAGTTTATAAAAAATACCTGTGCATGTGTGGACTAGGCCTTAAAGGGACTTTGTTACTACTCGGCAGAATACCCTATCAACTGCACAGCAATACCTTACTAATCACCTGGAGTAATCTATCATCTGCAAAGCAACCTGCTAGCAACCATATCAAACAGAATATCAATCTGTTTTCTGATAGACTGCATGCCTTCAAAACCTTTAAACTTCAAGCTTTAAAACTGCAATCAAACTAAAAAGCTTTGAACCTAAAGCTTTTAAGACTACTTAAAAACTTTCTGGTCAGGCTGGTGTGTGTTGATGAACTTTTTTATCTAGTTATAGCCTAATTGTGATCTTAATTTCCTGCTGCCAATAAATCGTAAGCCTTAAGGACTGTCCCACAGGTTCATGTGCAATAATGGATTATGGTTCATTGAAATAATTAAAAAGTAATATTGTTTAAACCCTTGCCAATAAAGATCTGTAAAGCTTATTTGGATTGTATTTCAAAAGTATCTTTAAATTCCAATAATATTTGGATTACAAAATTATCTTTAAAATACAGTATCCTGAAAAGTTTTTTTTTTTTTTTTTGCTGAGTTTATATGGGCATTATTATTAGAAGTGTGATTTTTCTGCTCATCTTTTTTTGTGGTCCTTCCAGCAAACCAAAGTAAAAACAAACCCTTTGATCAAGTACAAGGTAAGAGCGAAAAATGCTATAACACTATAAAAAACACAATAGACAATATTTTATATATGTAAAATATCATTTTTTCATATGATTTAAGTAAAAATAGAAAAATACTGACTGAACTTTCCTTAAAAAAAAAACAGGTCCTGATGGTCTTTCTCTTCATTACCAAGTATTCGTAACAGTGCTGTGTTTTGGCCTGCTGGGAATGTTAGTAACTGTTTTAGTGGTGCATATGAAGACCAGGAAAAAAAAACGCACCTCCACCAGTGAAGAATAAGAGAGGATCATTGTTGTTGTTGTTCAAATAAATATATAAGAACCCTTGAAACTCCAAATTTGACAGCTATAACAGACTGGTTTTGGCCTTTCTTTGGATAGGAGAAAAGGGAATGAGAATGGGAATATCCTATTTATACTTAAGAAATATAGGCTATATTCAATATGCACTTTTATTTGAGCAAGTTTAACATTTTAATTGTTAAATGATTAAGTGTTTATGTATGTTTATTTTTTTATTCATTTGATTTGTGTTGGCAATAAAAATCTACTGGTCTACTTACAATTTTGTTTGTCCTTCATGAAAAACTGCTAGAAACTATAACTATTGTTCTTATATAGTTCTGTAGTTCCGTAAAAGCAACTGGCATGCAATAATAATTTAGCAACTGGCATGCAATAATAAATTAGCTACACTCGCGGGGAGCTGCAAAGACTCCCGCCGAGGGGTCAAATATGAAGGCTCCACAGCTGCCACAGGATGCCAAATCATGCCCCTCACTTGCGAGAGGAGTTCCTTCCACAGTTGTATCAGCCAGGGAGCTGCCGATAGCATCTGAATCAACTCGAGGAACCACGTCTGATTCCTCTAGAGTGGGGCCACCAGGAGGACCGAACATCTGACTTCCCTGACCCGTCTGATGACCTGAGGAAGCAGGGGGGGCGTACAGGTGAGTGCCGGGCCAATAGTGGACCAAACCCAATCTACTGGGCTACTTACAATTTTGCTTGTCCTTCATGAAAAAATGTGGTCTAGAAACTATAACTATTGTTCTTATATAGTTCTGTAGTTCCGTAAAAGCAATGGGCGTGCAATAATAATTTATTAAAAAAACAATCTCACTTTTTTTTTTAATATATATATATTTTGAAATTAAGAGTATACAGTTTACTTTATGGTGAACTAGTCCTTTGATATAGTTTTGAGTGTTTTTGTAGGCTACTAGACGATGGTGTGAAAAGCAACTAACTCTCCGGCTACTTACGTAACCTCGGTTCTCTGAGATAAGGGAACGAGCAGTGTTGCCAAGTCCGCGGTTTTCCAACGGAATTGGAGCCAGAGTCTGCGCAGTAGTGTCCTGAGGTGGAGCCACGGTATCAAACTCCTGCCCAAACTCCCGCAGACCCAATCAACCATAACGACACGCCTTTTTGCGATAATCAACCATATCAACCATAACGATAATTACCCAATCAACCATAACAACACGCCTTTTGATGCTATAAAACATGCGTTTTTATAGCATCAAATTACTAGCTAAAATCAAACTTATCACAAAAATTTACAATTTGACATATATCAGCGTGATAACAACTACCTTAATTTACCAAAACCATCTTTCGGAAAATTGTATTGGAAGTGCAATTTTATATATTCTTTTTGACTCAAGTCCCATTCGTTTACATGGAGCGGGCGGGGTTTATGACCTGTACTGCAGCCAGCCATCAGGGGGCGATCAAAGAGCCCGGAGCTTCACGACGTGTGAGGCACACCTGTTTCAGACCGGTTAGACACTTGTCAACTTTCTTCCGTGTCTTCAAGATTTCTTTTATCGTCGACTTCAACCTGAGATTCAGTGAACTGTTAAAGTTGTTCGGATGTATTAATTCGGTTCGCACGCATTTGAACTCATCTTACATGTGTTCAAATGTGTCTATAGAAAGAATAACGTGAGGAAGAGCTTGCAACGGGACAGGTGAGTAAACGCTATTTTTTATTTTTATTTATTTATTTAATTTTTTAAGAGTAAAGGCTATATTTCTTGCCAGGGAGTGTGTTATTATGTGAAATATACGGTACACAGCTGAAATTCTAACTGTTGTTTTTTTTTTGTTATACTGTTTGAAATCTTCTGTGTAAGGCTCAGGACTATAAGATGTTTCGTCCAATAATTGCATTAGGTTGCAAAGGTTCTTTGAAAATGTTTTATTTTTGTAGTTCTGCTGGCTAGATGACTCAGAAACTGCTTACCCAACCTTTAAACAACTTCATACAACCATCCTAGAAACTGTGTGCCGCTTTAAAGTATTAAATATAATAAAAGCAAAGCTAAATTAAATAAATAATAAATAAATAATCTTCCTCTTTTTGAATGCTGTACTCCCAAAAACATCAGAAAAATACTGGAAGTGTGGAAGAGACAGAATAGTATTGATATTACAAGACATTACATTCAATTGTCTACATTTCATATCCTCTTACTCTTAAATCCTCCAGTTCCAGAGGCCACTGGACAACTATGAAGCTACTTCACCCATCAAAGAACCTCCTTTATTTGCTCCTAACCTTTGGTAACATACAGATTTCTTTTTGTGTGTGTGTGAATTTATATATTGTGATGATTTTTCTTCATATTTCTTCATGAAAAAGCACTTTCAGAAAGGTAGATATGACACTTAAGTTAATTATAAAAATGAGCCAACTACGCTGAAGGTATTTAAAGGGCCAGTATCTTTTTAATACATCACTATCCTATTAGGTAAATAGTTTCCAATCTGAACAGTATTTATCTTGGTCAAAAACAAGGATCTAAACTAAATCTTATTAGTTAATACTAGTATGCTAGTTTGTTTTACAATCAAATATGTTCTTCTAAAATCCTTTTTACTCTCTCTTTCCTGCTAGGATCCTTTCTAGGTGGGATGTTGATCCCTGTTGCAGTGAACATTGGGGATACTGCGATTTTCACTTGTAATGAGACATGTAATGGACATCTCTTATGGACATTCCACACTAACAATGAAAATCTGGAAGTTTTAAAATGTATCCAAGAGATTTGCACCAAAGGAGACAACTTTAAGAACAGAGTGAGCCTTAAGCCTGGAAACATGTCTCTAGGCCTGTATCCTGTTCTGTACAATGATGAAGGCTGGTACATGGTCAAATGTGATTCAGTGTTTCGCTGTGAATTCCACTTAGAAGCTCTTGGTAAGTTCTTATTTTTTAGTTAGCGATGACACATGATTATTTAATGGTAATGTTTATCACCCTAAATAAGGTGCTTACCACTGTTAGATGTGATCTAATGCTTTGTATTGTTTCCTTTCATTGTTTAGTACCAACTACTGTGAGCACCTCAGTCAGAAGCAACGTCACACTACCCTGCTACGCACGTACAGAGAAACGAATTACTGATGACGCTGTGAACATCCTGTGGAAAAAAGATGGCCAAACGGTGTTACAAGTTCAAAAAGGAATTACAACATATGGCTCAGGTTTTACAGGCAGGGCATCAATTTCACTTCACCATTATAAGCACGGAGATCTTTCCCTTAACATGCTCAGGGTCACCACATCAGATAAGGGATTGTTCCGGTGCTATCACAGAACTACAGAAGAACAGGGTTATCCTGGTGCTGTCACTCTCAATGTTACAGGTTGTTAAATATTAAATTTTTTACACTTTCTTTTTTCTCCTGTAATAGAAAAAAAAATGTTTAACTTAAACTGTGAAATTCTTTCTTCAGCTGATCAAAAGTTCTATGCAAAAAAGTTTGGTGGAAATCTCACCCTGGACCTGTTTGGCTCCGACCGTGTAAAGGTAACTTTCACCGGTCATGATGCAGATGAGACCCCTGTTTGCAGTGTGTTAGGGAACAACACCACATGCTCATCTGAGTACACGCACAGAGTGTCTGTCATAAAAGGCTTCCTCGTGCTGCGCGAGTTAACGTCCACTGATACAGGCACATTTACTGTGAAAAACAAGATGGATGAAGTCATTGGTGTCAACACTGTCACTGTGGAGGGTAAGTTTGAAATCAAACTAATTTCATTTTCTGTTGTTTAATTTGTTCTTTTCAGTTTAATAATTGGCTTTCGTTTGCATTCAGAACTAAGTCCCTTTCTTTGTCATGCACAGGTGTGACCCAGAGACATCACTACATAACTCTGCCTGTGCTAATTGATTTCATTCTCATTTGCCTGTTCCTTTGCTGCCAATATCATAGACAGTCGCAAGCACAGCAGTATCGCTGCAGTTATAATGCAATACAGTCTAATGTGAATATAAATCCAGAACCGATGAGAGAGCCTGCATGCATTGGATTGTCGCAACAAGAAACCAACCCAGAGCCTGACGTTCGTCCACACACACCTGTCGAGGAGACCATGCCTGAGCCTGTGAGGCCCACTGAGAAGCAAGACAACACTGAAGAGTATATTACGTGTGGAATAGGAATTGGAGAAACAGTATAGGAATACTTTAAGAGAACTGAAAAACTGCTCAAATGTTCTTCCTCTGCTGTATTATATGCTATGAAAAAGATGGCATTAAGATTTAATTGGATATTCTTTGAGCAACTGCATAACTGTGCCAGTGAACAATTCATTATATTTTTTACTTCAGGAAGGCTTTATAGCTGCAGTCTTGTTGGTCAAATTTAGGATATTTTTTTTTTTGGGCAAAAAAGATCCATTTTCCATCAATAGTGTAGCGATGTATGAAGCACAGCTCACACAGAAGTCACTTTCAATTCCAATTAGCCACAGAATGTAAAATTAATGTAAAATACTTCAATTACAAATCACATAATGGCCTTTTTCCTGATATGTTTACATTCAGACATCTTAAATCATTAAGGTTGGGCTGCACAACTATGATTCTTGCCATAATGATAATGTCAGATGTGGCCACACTGTGCTGCTTCTTATTAAGCATTATTCTGCACTTTTTCTTGTTACACTTTATTCTGCACTTTTTCTATTTTTCTATTCTATTTATAAGCTTGAGATACTAAACTTGTGATATAAGCTTTTTTTATTGAATTGGTTTTATTAAGTAAAAAAAAAAAAGTAATACACACAAAATGTTTACAGTGTATCTGTGTATTCTATTAACTTTTATGATCAAAAGTCACATTATATGAATGTGTGACTATGCCTAATCTATTAACAAATTCAAATCATGAAATTTCCAGAAGATGAAAAGGTATATTACTGTTATGTCTTAATAGCTACTGTAATAGCTTTAGTAGTAACTGTTTTAGTTATTTTACCAGACTCTCTCTGTGAATGTCAGAATATAATTATACATTAATATTTATATCATATACTATTAATTTAAAGAGTTTTCCTTTTATATATGTGTATGTATGTATATATATATATATATATATATATTGAGTTATTTACTGTGACTTTTCAGTGTTGCTAATGATTTTTGTTCTTTATAAAATTTTAGAAAATATAATAACAAAATCAGATATTGTACAGTTGCGATCTCTTTTAATTCCAATAACCAACAAATGTGCACAAATTACATAAAAACAAGAATCCAGTATAAGCGTGATGTCATGACCAAAAATATTATGAAAATCGAACTATTTTAGGTTCCAAGTAATAAAAATCAGACAAATAACATGGTTTTACAGCATTGATTATACAAAATATATATTTTGTTTAAAATCCTCAAAAGCTAAAATCCCCAGGATTTTTTTTTTTAAGTAGAAATAGTTTGAAACAGGTTATGGCCACTTTTGTGGCATCATGACAGGGCTGGCACTTGTTGACTACATGACAATACAAATGATCTAAGAGCTAAGAAATTCAAACCAGGAGATTATGACACAAACCATGTTTTCATATGTCATGAGCAAAACTATATCTGGGACCACATCTCTGTTTTCATGTGTCTGTGCAGGCTACAGTGAACACCATGATGTCATGTGACTTACCTTGTGCGTACATCTGTGTATGTTTAGTCACTCTGAGAACTCCTTAAAAACTCAAATGACCACAAATTCTGCCAAAAGATATCCTTGTGGTAAACTTGAAAATATCTGAATAGCATAACCTTAATGTAACTAATGCTTCCTAATACCCTGCTGATAAACACAGCTGGATTAGTGTTGAACTCTAATTGGCTGAACTAGATCGTTCAGCTCAATAAAAGGCTTTAGAGATCTATACTGTACTGTACATGGCAAAGCAAATCACTACTGGAGTGATAAACAGGTGAGTGCCAGAAACATTGTTGCTATTGAGACATAAAAAAACAAATCTAATGAAAGAATGCCATGTAAAAATTGTTTTACATTTATGCAGCATGATTGTGTTAGTATCAAATTCAGACTTGATTTTGAATAGACTTGAATTTAAAATATGCTGTTTTTCAGATTGCAAGATGAAGAACTTTGTTATGACCATTATGGTTCTGACCGTAATTGCTGATGTGAGTACATTGATTTCATTTACTTTATATATTTTGGTCAATCATGATTCATCAGTTCATTTACACATGCTTTGATCACGTTGATACTTCTCTTTTAGATCACCTCAGCTAAGGTAAGACCATTCATATCATCAGAATGATCAGAGTTATGTTTGTTAACACTGGCACTTTAAGCTGCACTTATTTTTAGAAGCTGCGTCTGATCAACGGTCTGAATGGTGAACTGGTTACTGGTGTAAATGGAGTTAACCCTCTGCTGGTGGGTGGTCTGAACACACCTGTGCTTTCTGGTGGTCCTGCTGTTATAGGACAGCCTCCATTAGCACAGGTAGGAACTGAAGATTTATCACTTAAAGGAAAAGTACCCCCAAATATGAAAATATGCTGAAAATCTACTCAGACCATCCAAGATGTTAATGAGTTTGTTTCTTTTTTAATCTGAACTGATTTGGAGAAATTTAACATTACATCACTTGCTCTGCAGTGAATGGGTGCCGTCAGAATGAGAGTCCAAACAGCTGATAAAAACATCACAATAATCCACAAGTGATCCACACGACTCCAGTCCATCAATTAATGCCTTGTAAAGTGAAAAGTTATGTGTTTATAAGAAACAAATCTGTTGTTAAAACATTTTAACTTTAAAGCATCACTTCTGGCCAAAATACGAGTCCATAATGATCCATAATAACACTTCCTCCAGTGAAAATGTCCATCCCCTGTTGTGGTCTCACATCAAAATCCACGGGCATATTTGTTTTGATCTGTTCTGGATTTTCTTTTTTACTTGTAAATGATGTTTGATCTGTGCATATTTCTCTAAAATTAAGATGAGTTTACTTTTTCAATGGAGAAAGCAGATTTATGGACAGTGGATTTTAGCTATGGTTTGAAGTTAAAAACATCTTAATGGATTTATTTATTACAAACACAGCTTTTCACTTCACAAGACATTAATTGATGGACTGGAGTCATGTGGATTGGTTGTGGATTATTGTGATGTTTTTATCAGCGGTTTGAACCCTCATGCTGATGGCACCCATTCACTGCAGAGGATCCATTGGTGAGCAAGTGAAGTAATGTTATTTTCTCCAAATCTGTTCTGATGAAGTGACAAATTTATCTACAGTACATCTTGGATGGCCTGAGGGTGAGTAGATGTTCCAAAAATGTAAATTTTTTTGGGTGAACTATTGTCCCACTAAAAGATAATGTTTTACACAGACAATAACAAACTCTTTTGTGTCTGACAGATTCTGCCTGCTGCTGTTCTTCCTCCATTTGTGCTTCAGCACCCACCTGTGGCCACAGTTCCCTATGGTCCCCCCAACATTGGACCTCAGCTGGCTTACTTACCCTTTCGCTTCACCTAATGGGGTATTTGTTCATTTTTATTCACAATGTTTGTGCAACAATATGCATTTAATTCTGTCTAAATTAATGTAATTTGGGGGTGTTGTTGTGGACTGTTCTGATCAACAGGGTTTGCCGTATTACATTGGTGGGCCCCAGAATCAACCAGCCATAATGCCTCCGCAGCAACAAGTTGCGGTACAAAACAAGTTGCTTGTACTATTCTAATACTATAAATTATATGTATGGGCTATAAATATATTCATGAAACTCATTCCTAATACTTTTAGGCTGGACAAGGCCCTACTGGATATAATCAAGCTGTACCATCAGGCTCACTAACTAGATTTAAGGTACATTTGATGAAGCAATTACTGGCAACACCATTGTTTTTTAAGGCCAATTTTGGCCACTGATTCAAAATCTCCTCTGTAAAAACCTTTAACTTTATCCTATTCACTTGTAGTATGCCTAAAACTACTAACAACTAACTGGTTATTATCTATTCAGTTCATATGATTTCTGATGTTCAATGATGATAAGTTTGTAGTAAAAAGTGTACTGTAACTTCATTGTTTAGCAATATGCAGTGTTTGTGCAACGTTCAAAAGGCAGAATTCCTGCCCTCCACATAACTGTGTTAAATCATTCTTCTCAGCGCTCCTTCCTCAGAAGGACCACTGCAAGACCACCTGTCTCAATCACCCAGGTTTGTAGAAAAAATATTTTGTATTTTTCAAAAATCTATTGAGTGGTAGCCTGCATTATTATATGATTTATCATCTATACAGATGCCAGCCCAGGTCAACCCTGCTGTGTCTGGAAATCCTGTTGGGTAAATTTGAGTGAAGCATGTGTTGAAATAGCTTAGGTGTGTTTTATACACGTGTTGACACAGTTATACATTGTTTTTATTGTACAATAATTAATACTCTTGCTGAGAAGCTGATTGAGTTTGTTTCTTTTCACAGATACGTTCAAGAGATCTTCTCTTCTCTGCAATAAATGTAATTTTTTATTTAGAATATTACAGAATCATTGATAAGTATAATGTACTTTAGTAAAATGTCTAATGCTTTGCATTATACTGACAAATTGCCAACAGTTGTAACAAATGTTTGTACTGAATACTGAATAAAAGTCACTAGTTTGTTGCAACAGTGAATATTTTCACCCTCTTAATCATATGATAATATTATGGCCACGCTTGAAAGTTTGTTTATTGTGTTATATTGCCATCTACTGGCAACAGTGTTCATGAAGTTACTGCGGAACATTTTTTAAAAGAAAGAAAGAAAGAAACAGCAATTCCACTGTAAGTATTTATTTTATCTTTTGAAATGTATTAATATAATAATACGTTTAATACTATCATGATAATCATCATCATCCACACTATCACTGTTTTAAAAAGATCAATTTAATCTATTTGTTTTTCTATTCCCTGTGCCTAATTTGTCTCAGTACCTCACTCATCTCTCCATTAAGGATACACTGTAAAAAAAAATTCCTTAAAACTTATGGTAAAAAAACGGCAGCTGTGGTTCCCGGAATTTTACCGTAAAAAATACAGTAGCAACATTTTAGGTTTTACGGTTTTAACTTACATTTACAGTTAAATACCATAATTTCATTAACTGATATAATGTTAATATACCAACCTATTGAAGTACTGAAATCTTTTTTGTACCTTTGTAATACACTGATAACCACCAAATGCAGGTGGTGATGAGAAAGTCACATGATGAACCAAAGCCCATCACAAGCAGCTTTTAAATAATAACATATATAGAAGGTGCACAGTGTCATTCACACAAACGCTAAACACCATCATGGTAACACACATGAAACTGAAATAATGCAATAAACATTCATTTAGCAACATTAGGTGTAACACACAACCCTAATATGCAAAACGGATAAGAAAAAACTAATAAGAAACAGTTATTTCAACAAAAAAACATAAAATTTGAAATGTAACGCAGGGAATTCTGGGAATGTCAATTTACGTTATTACTGTAAATTTACATTATTCACTGTAAATTATACTGTCTTTTTCACTTCCAAAAACAGTATACTACCGTAAAATTACATGTAATGTCCAATACCGCTTTTCACCGTATATAGTACGGGAATTTGCCATTAACCATTTAACAGGTTTTTACTGTAGCATTTTTACAGTCTTTTACCATTAAATTCATGGTCATTTTTTACAGTGTATGCATTATTTTGCAGTCAGTCTCTGACAAAGCTCATTTCTGACGTGGCCACTGGTTCACATAGACTTCTATTTAAAAAAAATTCATAACAATTATTATGATTCACACTATGTCGAAACTATGGTTGCTACAGAAAAGATTGTATTAGCCTACCACATAATGGCATCAGGACAGAAAAAGTCGCAAATCATCAAAAGTTACACAGACATAGACATAAAATAATATTTGTTCATAATATACCATTTAAAGCTTAGGTCAATAAGATTTTGTTTAGAGAGATAGATGGATAGATAGATACTTTCTTTTATTAAAATACTTTTAATAAATACTATTATTCTGCATTATGCAGGATACATTAAAGCAACCAAAGGTGGTTTTTAAAATTCTGTTCTTCTGAACATTATAGCCACAAAAAAATAAAAAAAATAAATCAAAATCATACCACTGGAGTAATGGCTGCTGAAAATTAAACTTTTAAAATATTTTAAAATATAAAACAGTTATTTTATATTGTAATAATAAATCACAATATTACTGTTTTACTGCATTTTTGATCAAATAAAGCCTTGGCGAGCCTTGATGAAGCGACTCCAACAAATTGTACAGACCCCAAACGGTAAAGTGTGTGATTCAGCACAGGTATTTTAAGTAGAGTGCAAATGTTATATGTCACAACTACTGTGCTTATCAAGGCCATGATATAAACAGTTTTGAGGTTGACAAGTTTCTAATGCAAATAAATAATTTCTGATGCCTCAAAATCAATCAATCAATCAACAAACAAACACCCCCCGAGGTACCAGACAGTTTAAAAAATAAAATAAAATAAATATATAGCGTTTTGCTGTCTACAACTACATGAAATAGGGTTACATGATTAAACATGTTGGTTATTTATTATAACCAAACCACAGGCTATTTCTAAAATTGAAAGTATAGTCTAAAAAATATATATTAAATAGTCAGATTTTTGCAGATTGATTTTTAATGCCATCTACTGGACTCCTAAGGTTCTTGCACATTTTAGAAATCACAAAGGTCACTACAGCTGAGGAAATAAACCATTTTAGTCTGGTTCTTCTGTCTGGAATACTCAGCCCCTGAACCATGTAATCACTAAGTGGAGATGACCACACTAATTGCCATAATTATTGTTTTGAAGAGAATGGTTAAATCTTGTTTTTTCATTCTTAGCCAGACAATAATTTGTCTCCTTACCTCACAGAACAAACAGCTCTTCATTCAGCCTGCGCATTAGTCTGTGAGTCTGTGAGAAAGCTCAGTTCTGATCTAAAGCACTGGTGCATGTGCTCTATATCTGTTAAGCATTAAATGTTTTTAATGCATACGTCTTCAACCCTGCTCCTGGGGACCCACTGTCCTGCAGAGTTCAGCTCCAACCCTACTCAAACACACCTGAACCAGCTAATCAAGGTCTTCGGGATCACTTGAAAAGTCAGAGGCCAGGTGTGCTGAAGCAGGTTGGAAATACTCTTTGCAGGACAGTGGGTCCCCAGGAGCAGGGTTGAAGACCTATGTTTTAACGACTTAATAATAATGATAATTAATCAAAACACACATACTGTGCATATACAGACATACTCAAACCCAGACATTAAATTGATGGAAACAATTAGCATCTCAGTTGACCATAATAATACATGTCTATATATGACGCGGTATAGACAAATTGAGGCACATGACACACTGTATGTGTCACAGCTACAGCAACCTGATATTATAAGAGGACATGCAGCAGTTTAAAAGCAAAGGGGAAAAGAAGCTAATAGTTTGCACTTCTGCTCTGCCTTGAATGTACTTTTATTTCTTTAATATTCTGCATTTATTGTCTATTATTGATGTATTGCATTTATTGATTATTATTAGTTTAAATAGACAGCACCAGTAAGGAGTCTTTCAAAAATGTATCTAAATATTTTATTTCTAAGGACTGTGTCATAATGTTTTTAGACTTTAGTATATGTTCATTTTCATAGATTTTTTTTTAATCCACAGATAACCAAGATGAAGTTTCAGGCCATCTTTTCCATGGCTGGTCTTCTCAGCATTTGCACTTGTGCTCCTGTAAGTGTCCAATGATAAATAAATGTCTTCATCTGGAATCTATAGTAACAAATCTGTTTGTGTTTCTCAGATCTACCATCCTCAAATTGGAATAATTGCAAGTAACAGTAATGAGGTATGTTTCGTGTGCATTTTGTCATGAATTTTATACAAAATATTATATATTAAATTCTACCATTTAAAAGTTTAGGGTCAATAAGATGTTTTAAAAGTTTCTTTTGCTCACCAAGATTGCATTTACTTGATCAAAAACAAAGTAAAAGCAGTAATACTGCAAAATATTATTACAAATTAAAATAATGCTTTTCTATTTTAATATTTCAAAATATGATTTAAGGCTGTGGCAAAGCTGAATTTTCAGCATCATTACTCCAGTCTTCAGTGTCACATGATCCTTCAGAAATCATTCTAATATGCTGATTGGCTGACTTTTTTGGGATTCATTGATTAATAGAAAGTTTAAAATAAATCTTTTGATTAATTGTAAATGTCTTTACTGTCAAAAAATATGGTGTATAAACACATATATTAAATTACTAATCCCAAACTTTTGAATGGTAGTGTACATTTTTGTTTTCTGTAATGCTCATGTCTCTTTTTCCTTCTTTGTAGGTTTTGCGTATCAATGGACTCACTCTGGCAGGTGTGGGTTTGGGTCCAGCACAGGTAATTCAGCATCCAGTCATGTAAAAAAAACTAATATGAAGATAGCTTGAAGATTTGAGGGTAAAATCTGCCATAACGTAATTGCCTTGTATATGACAGAGAAATATAATTTCTTAACCTGAAACAAGGAATTAACTGTTATCTTAATATGGTGTTCTGTTGGTATGGTATGGTGCTCATAAGGGGCTCATTTAAATCTTTGCTTTCTTTCTCCTTAGGGAACTGCATTTTTCCCTCCCTTCCTAATTCGGCAGCAGCCCCCACAGGTGCTGAACTTCAACCCTGCGATGCAGGGACACTTCCTGCCCCCTCAAATAAACCAGCTGAACCCAGCACAGTTGCCCCCATTGCTGCAGGAGCAGCCTATACCTGGCATTGGTCCCAACAATGGCTTACCAACACAGAACCTTCCCCCGGTACAGACAGACAGGGAACATCGTGCACTCATGGATTTTTTGCTCCTTTTTTTTGTTCCACAAATTTTTTTTTTTTATTATTCTCACAAATTTTGTCTGGAGAGTAAAAAAAGTCATGTTTGTTTTTAGGGATTTCCATTCTTCCTGACTAATCTATATCCTCTGAGGAACACTCCTGTAAGGCTGATACCCAACCAGAACACTGGCCCAAGTATTCAAGGCTGGGACACGATGCAACCAATGCAGCCAGTGCAACCAATGCAACCAATGCAGCCAGTGCAACCAATGCAACCAATGCAACCAATACAACCAATCCAGGTATTGTAAAACCATTTTCCCTCACAGTTTCTTCTCCTTTCAATTGATTGACTAGGCAAAAATGTGATTTTTACAAAGAAAAATGGTTAAATGAAAAGTGTATTACCTCCAAGAAGGAAACAATGAAAATGCATTTTTGTTTGAAACATCTCAAAAATATTAAATATATTTAATATACTGAATACATAATTATTTTAATAAATAGTTAATAAATATTTAATATTAAATTATTAAATTTAATTACATGAATCACATTACTCTGATGTAGTCTTAAGGGGCTTGTATTTGTGTTTTCTTAGACATTTTACAGAGAATGTTTCCCATTTTTCAGAACAGGGGAAAGTCAGACCCGAAGGTAACGTCTGCTCCTGATTACCGTGGTGATCGGCCCGGTCCGGGAACTGGAGAGGTGTTTTCAGAAGCAATCTTTTGTTAACATGTTGTTAATAACCAAACCTGACAAAATATTGCTGGACAGAATAATTACTGTAGAATTTGTAGGCAGTTTGTTAACCAGCTCTGTCTCTGACAGGGGCATCCTGGGTTCCCATTGTTTGAGCCATAGGCTCAGAAGATTTCATTATTAAAAAGGTATTCAAATTTGTATATTATAATAGGATATCATACCAGTTAAATTATCAGTATGTAAATTTGTCGTTGGTTTTCCAGATATCCCACCATGGAGACCCCTCACAGGAGACATTTTTGTTCAACTTGGACATATGTTACCAAATAAATAATAGATGATCAATTTATTTTGTCTATAGTTATTATTTTTATTTTATTTTTTTATGTTGAAAATTGTCTTTTGTTCTACTGAAACTTGATTAGGAGCAGTGCTTTCTTGTATCAACAATTAAGAATAAATCACCCAACTTCAGTGACAAAATGATCAAAGTCACAGTGTTGATGCTAATAGTTTTAATGAGCAGATTCTCAAGAGTAATGATTAAAGCAGAAAATTCAGCAATCTGTGGTTGAGTGAACAACTATAAATAGGCATTAATTAGCAATAAAATAAAAAACGACATTATACATTGAAATTCTATGCTGAGTTATATAATAGCTGGATGTTCGTCTGTGGAAAAAGAAGAAGAGGTTATTTAAAGGCAAAGGTTTTCAATCAAACTGATTTTATTTATTGTGTGTACTGCAATCTGTCCTACCAATGTGGTTTTTGTATATGGTTCTTTCCTAGTTTGTCCTACGATCACTTTCAGACTCTGCCTGGAGAATCAGAGTCAAAAGCAATGTTGAAAGAATTAACGAACGAACGAACAAACAAACAAACAAACAAATAAATAAATACAAATAAGATAATCTAAAATATATATTCAAATAATTCAAAACCAGCTGTCATTCTTAACTTGAGAACCAAAATACTGACCTTTATGAATGCAGGGAGCTGCAAAGACAACCAGGACATTCAAAAGACCAAGAAAAAAAAAATACATTGAAACAAGAAAGAGAATACCGTTAGGTGAAAAATTATTCTAGGTACTGGCAGATATCTATAAAGTAACTGATGTGATATTAGTACATGGTCCTGATTACTTACAAGCTGTGTAATGCCATATTCAAATGAGATTCTTTGCTGTTGGGAACAAATATACAACAGATGGTTTTTATTTGATTTAATAAAAAGAAAAAAAAGAAATAGTGACCAGATATGCAAGGTCATTCAAATACTACAGATTAAGGTGATATGACTTACCGTTGCAGTTGGATTGTAGATGAGCTTCACATAAGGCTGTTAGATATAGAAAGTATATTTACAGAGTTTGATTTGGTAAACTGAATTTAAACGTTCTTTTAATGTTTTAATCTTTCTATTTATTTGATATTTTATCAAGCATGTTGAATGTTCATTATAGTGCCTGTTACCTGAGGGCCATAGAGGGAGAAACCCTGACCATACTAAAAGTGATAACAAATATTAATTTAAGTACACTACTAAGAAATCTTATGCAACTTATTTCACAATAATAAAACAAGTTTTATAATAAAAACAACTTTACCCCCAGTTCCTGAGGTTTATTCACTCCACCCTGTAAATAAGTCACAAATGGTATACATTTTTTCAACATGAAACATTACCATATCTAAAAGATCGAAGACTTTATTACCATTTTTGGTGACTGCATCTGTCCTTTGCCCTGGATGGAAAGAAGGATAAAACTTTATTGCTTTTTGTCTATTTAAATTATAACTATTATTATCTGTTCAATGCTTCAAATTAAACAAAGTATGAAATAAAATAGACATAATGTAAACTATTGCAAATGGAAAATGAATGGCAAAGTATTATCTTTACTTGGACTGTTTCATTCACTTACTTTTGGTAAGAGGAAGACATTCTCTCCCTGGAAACAAGGCAAACATTTATTCTGATTTTATCTTCTGTTTTAATAGTATTTTCTTGAAATACAGTATGTTTGGTTAATTAATGTCAGTTTCCCAAATTTAGTGGCATTACCTCCTTTAGATGGAAAGCACTAACATTCTGTTAAAGGGAGAACATATTTATGTTTATTTATTTTTGCTTTTTTGATATATTTACTCATCTCAAAATATTAAAGATTACTTTTATTTCTGGGTACAAAACAACAGCACCATAAGTTTCGCTCACCTGCAAAGTGACATTGTCAGCCTATGTTGATCCAAGTGAATAAAAATATTAACCACAGATTAGAAACTTCAAATGCATTCAGTTCATGACATTTACCTCTGGTTTCACAGACAAGGCTTAAGCCTAGTCCCAGACTAAAATGCATGTCTGGTCTGATTTAACTGAGAGAAACTTGCACTGACATATCTTAAAATATGTCTCATGTTTTGTCTCAATTTACTCATCTCAAAATATTAAAGATTACTTTTATTTCTGGGTACAAAACAACAGCACCATAAGTTTCGCTCACCTGCAAAGTGACATTGTCAGCCTATGTTGATCCAAGTGAATACAAATATTAACCACAGATTAGAAACTTCAAATGCATTCAGTTCATGACATTTACCTCTGGTTTCACAGACAAGGCTTAAGCCTAGTTCCAGACTAAAATGCATGTCTGGTCTGATTTAACTGAGAGAAACTTGCACTGACATATCTTAAAATATGTCTCATGTTTTGTCTCAAGATGCTCCTAATTGAACTATGGCCTCATCCTGGCTTAACCTAAGCCCTGTCTGTGAAACCAGGCCATAATGTCTTTGGTTGAATTATCAACATCTTACCTTGAAGATTGGTATGAACTGTCTGTTTTCCTAGAACATGAATCAAAATGAACTTATAAATCTATACACAATCAATAACAGCTTAATATAAAACATTGTTTATTCCATGAATGAATTTGTGCAAAGTGCATGTTAATATTAGCAATATGAGCTTACCATCATCTTGGGACTCAGGGGTTTTCCAAAGAGTGGATTCATTTGATTCTCTCTACCTCCATCTACTAGAGCTTGGGTTGGGTGCGTTGGCATCCTATCCAGCTGAAGGCATTTAACAAAATTAATAATTCATTTTCATATTTCAGCAAATATTCTGTTTTTCCACATTTATAATACTATCTCATTCTGTTTATCACAGGATCTGCAGTCTAACTTACTTTGTGAGATGGTCTACCAGCTCTGCCATTCTTCTGTGGTTTTCCGGCTCCTCCCCATCTATGCCATTGTCCACTCTTCTGTGTACCTTGGTTCAAAGTGAACCCTTGTCTAGTCAACTCAGACTCATCACCCTACAGCAGAAGATAAAACGAATGTTCATTGTACTGCATAGTGATTGCAAACATTGCAAAAAGTGCAAAAAATGTTACCCACTCTGTCTTCTCCATTTTGACCAGGGAACACTGGATCTTGTCCAAATGGAGAGCCATTATATGGATCTTGTGCATGTTGCTCAGGTCCATCTGGATACAATGGGCCCACTGGATCTGGCTGTAGTGAGTGTCAGTTGAAATATTTTGAACTAAAACTACCTTAAATAATTTTAGAGTTATACATAAAGTGAATGTAAAAAAAAAAACATACAAAAACTGGACGCCCAACATTCTTCTCCCATCTGGGTCTGATTGGAGTTCTGCCGCCTGGCTGAGGTACATTTACTCCTCCGTCTACTGGACCTGATAAATATTTCTCTCCATTCACTGGGCTAACATGATCCCAGCGGTCTCTGTCATTGGGCTAATAAAAAAAAAATCATCAATGCATTAAAAATGTATAAAACCTGCCTTGACAATACATATAAAACAGTGTGAAGCTCCACCATGATTCCAATAAACACTGATATACTGTATACCCAAAATATCTGTCAGAATGCTGCTACTCACTTGAGCCGCCACCGCAACACATGATAATGCCACTAGAAACCACATTGCTTCTTTAAAATAATATGTACAATTTTCAGCGATAAATTTAAGTTTGCCTTCTCAAAGTTTGTCCCTGTTTCCAGCCGTGTCACACTGGTCTTGCTTCTCTCTTTATAAAAGGTAGTTGTTGAGCAATTGTCACTGTTGTTGTGACTCTTTTGTTTTGACCAAGGACTAATCAATTGTCAGAGAAATTGTTAGTTACAACTAAAAATACTAATACAAAGCTGATGTCATTCAGGGTGGTTACAACATAACAATATGTTGTAGTTCATTCAAGCATATTATTTCACAACTTTTACAAAATTCTTGCTTCAAAGAGCTATATGTTGACTTTCCTATGATTCTTTCTGTATTGCAATATCAGTCAAACCGATTAAAGAAAGCCACAGAAGAATATCGTGTAGGAGGGATTGTACCGATTGCTAAACTAATTTGTTGTCTCAAGCTCACCTAATGTTGTAGGATTCTCCCAGTGAATTTAGCAACAGCAGGCAGCAATTTAGGCATCAACATAACAGAGAGGTGTGGTATCTATTGCTGTATTTAAATCCTCAGGCTGTTCAAATTATTATACTATTTCGAGGCATCAGAGCAATAAATATTCTTCCTAAGAATATTATTTCTTTTCCTTTGGAGAATCATGAAGACAGTAATTTTATTTGCATGTTTTCTTGGTCTGTCTTTGGCATTGCAGGTATGTTTCAAAAGCTATTCTTTTGCATTTTACTCAGTTGCATATAAATAATGTGACAATGTTTTTTTTTTTATTGCAATTAGGCTGAAGTTCACCAGCGTGCGGTTCGCTCATTATCCAGCTCGGATTCTGATGAGGTAAGTCAAAGAATGTAATCCAGAGTTAAACTGTAAAATTCAATATAATGTATCTGTCATAATGTCTCTTATCAGATTGGAGCTTTTTTTCTGAATCTGCGTCAGCCTTTCCAGGTTCTCAACTCAGACCAGCTCTTTCAGCTGCTGATGGCCTTTTACTCTAGAACTGTCCTAACTCCAGCCCCCGCCCCAGTGCCAGCGCCACCCGCTGCCCCATCCACCGCCCCAACCCCGGTGCCAACCCGCGCACCTATCACAGCACGCTAAGGCCTGCTCCTTTGTTGAGATAAATTACACTTTTCAGTTTACATGCGGCTGTCTAAATAATGATTAGTAGTGCTCTAATAGCCAGTGATATTAGTCT